GCTCTGCTAGCAGATCTAGATCTGCGGCTAGGCTGTAGACAGTAGAGTGTAGCCTCTATTTTTGCCCAAAATAATGATTGTTGTCGACATGTTACATACTGAGTAGCCATTTGTTCACTTGCATCACACTCTTGATCTACTCAGAGTCAGATAAGACTACTGTCTCTAGTCATGTACAACAGTATTTCACAACTACATGACTGTACAACTTTAGTACAAGTAATGTAGCTCTGTTTGTGCTTGCACGCAGCTCGTGTGTTCGGTAGGAGAGTAGGTCAGTGCACAAATCCCCAGCCATGGCGCCAGTCTAGCGTCTGGACTGGAGCCTAGCCTGGCCGGCCCTTGGTCCGGAGTTGGAGGGCATACCCTACCCCGTAAATAGTAAACGTATTAAAATTAAAGAAAAGAATATTTTAAGTGCGCGGTGTCCAGGCACTGAGCTGGCAGGGGCGGCGGAGTCCGGAAGCACAGCGCACTAGCGCATCGCGCGTTGCCGTCTGGCCCCATCCGTGTGAATCTGGGTGTATTTCTTTTTACAGTTCAGAGTTTAGACTTTCACTACTACGTACTAGTACTAGTACTACTACCGTACTGGCAATATATATGTTGCCGCAGTGAGGCTATGAAGCGTTACATTGGCACATGTTTGCCGCACGCAGGGCGTTACATGCAAAGTCGCACAGGAGCCGTTACACAGGTTTCTATATTGCCGCAGTCCTTTTTTTGCTATCGCCGCATCACTTTTTTGCTATTGGAAACTGGTAAACACATCGCTCTTCTTCGCAAAACGACCTCGGGAAAGAAGAAACCATTGAGATCGCCAACCACTGAATGATGCGCCTTCGAGTGTCAGGACTTCCTGCTGCGTCCAGTTTTGAACTTTTCACCACGCGGTACACGCGCTTTCACAGTTTTCAGCCTTTTTTTTGCAGTGCAAATAATTGCAATGAAAAGATCGCCGCACCCCGCCGGACGCGCGTTACGAACTCAACGAAAATTTGTCGCACTAGCCTGGTCGCGCGTTACGCCGCACCCCCCTGCGTTACGCGTTACGCGGCAACATTGTAGTCACTACTCTAGACTGTCTGTACTGTACTGTAGTCTGAGTGTAGATCAATGAATAAGACAGTCTTTCAGCAACAGATCACATGTATGTCTGAAGTCGTGAAGATGACTCACACCTACATGTACATGATTGTATTACATGACATTGCGCAGATTGACATTGTATTGATGTAGTTTGCCTTGATCTGGTGAGCTGCGTAGTGGGGATTTTGCAGTCAGATATGCGACTGACCTATGTTTCAACGTTTGCTAACGCGGTTCTCCCTCTTGTCGGGCATTGGATGTGAGACTTAGTAACTACCTCGCCGTCGCCACTACAGGCGCTAGGCGCTACATCTGCCACCCTGGACTAATCAGGCATGGTGGTCTCGAGAGAATGAAGTAATTAGTTGAAGACACCACTGCAGCTGTACTTATGGTTGATAAATATGGTGGTAAAGACACACCTGGCGATATGGCGGTAAACACACGCCTGCCCACACACGATCTCTAAGCTGCAAAGAGAGTCGTTGTTGTGTCATCTTCTATGTGCCATGCGCTACTTGATGTACCAGCCTGCTATGTCGGATACCGCCAACCATGCATCGACTAGGCGCCAGGCGCGAACTGATGGTGGTGGTGGTGGTGGTGAAAAGGAGAGCTTTGTGGTCTCGAGTCTTGTTTTATTCAAAGCCCCACATTTTAATTTTAAGTGAATAATAGCAAGAAGGTACAAGAGAAGAGCTAGAGAGAAAAGGGAAACCAAGGAGGAGTCCATGTGGGGAAAGGAAAGATAGAAGAACATATTGAAGGGATGGGGATCGGTCACGCAATATGGTTAATCAATAATCAGGCATGGTGGTGGCCTGGCACGAGCGAAATTTACTTCCTAACAGGGAGTCGTAAAATACGACACTTTACGACTCCCTGCTTCCTAAGCTGCCATGGTTTGTGTTTCTGTAAGCAGGTGGTAACGGCGTAACGCGGATGTGCGAACGTTACCTGATTCGTACCATGTCAAATTGCGTGACAGAGTGTTGCAGCGCACTACACGTCTACACCACAGTGATAATTATTACAATGACTATGTGTCGTGGAGTATGTCCAGCAAAATAGGAACTCGCTTCAAGTCACACAATACAATACCGGTACATTGCACCTTCATGACGTGTATACAGACAGAAGATTTCACGGTACTTGCTGATACAACTGTACAGAGAAATCTGTCTAAGACGACCGCTCAAGGGACCTTCAAGATGTGGTCTCTGTTACCAGGTAGTCTCCTTATCCAGGGTGAATTGACTGGAAATAGCATCCCTTGGTCTGCCTGGTTCCAGTGGTCTTCTAGGACAGGTGTTCACCTTATCCAAGTGGTCGCCTTGACAGGTTTTACTGTGTATATCAGCAAGTATGTGAGTGTGAAATCTTCTTTCAAAGAAAGAGCAGCTGCAGTATTTGAAATAATTATTGCAACCTGTCGGTGGGTGATGGTACATTGAAGCGATGTTCTTCCATTGAAAACAAAAATGAGCTTTGTCTGTGCAGTGCGAGACTCGCAAGAAATACTCCTTCTTTGAGCTCTTCACTTATTCTTCTTATTCTGTGTTTCTGTTTCTGTATTTTTTGTATTTCAAGGCATACCCCGAGGATATACACGTAGGTATTATTGAGTATAGGGCCATTCTGGAACATTCAGCCTATATTGTGTATTTTTGAGCTAGGCTGTTCATTAACCATCCACTCTTTGCGATCCCCACTCTACAGCCTCCCATTATAATGGAACTCCCTTCAATTTAGACATGTCTAAAAAGAAAGCGTTTGCTCCCCACACTGGAGCTCGCGCTATTCCGCCGACTTGACTCGCGACTGCCATCCAGAGCACATGAGAAGTCCATCGAACCTTCGACTTGGCAAACCTGCAAGAAAGCACCACTCATATTGTGTATTGAGCAGGGAGTGGTGCTTTCTTGCAGGTTTGCCGAGTCGAAGGTTCGATGAACTTCTAGTGTGCTCTGGATGGCAGTCGTGACTAGGCATTTGCGGATAATGCTCGAAAAGGTGGCAGATTCTGCTCGAAAAGCAGTGAAATTGGCAGAACCATACAAACCTTATGGCGGGCAATTCCTCGAATTCTGCTCCGTTTCTTTATCCACATACCAAACATGCATGAAACTTACCAGAAAAAGTACCGAATTCTGCCAATTGTTCTGCCGGCATTATCCGCATACATGTACATGTATGCCTTGTCGTGACTCGTGAGTAGTAGTAGTAGTAGTAGTAGAATTTATTATTTTGATAGGGAAGCCCTACAGACGTTGCCGTCTTGTTACAGGGAACCCTAAGTGCTCTTTACAGAGCGAAACAAAAACGGATAGATGCTCAACCTGACGACACGAGACAGGCAGAGAATTGAGTCAGTCAAGTAAAGTCGGCGGAGTAGCGCGAGCTCCAGTGTGGGGAGAAAAATTCTGCCAGCATAATCCGCTTACCCCTACTGCAGGACGCTTTGCGTCTCTAAACTCTCTGACAGGCAGGCAGACAGACAGATACTGACGGACAGACACTGACAGACAGGGGAGGGAAGAGAGGTTACACGTACGGTTGACGGCTAGTACTGTAATGAATACAGGGCCGTGGGGCGGCTCCCAATCGGTTTGTGCATTCGCCCCCCCCCCCCCCCCCCCCCCTCTCCCGTGCTGCTGGGTGTACTGTATGTACAGTACTTGATTGTGCGTGCTCTGCTCGATCGACCTACACAATGCTACATGGGCTACGTAGAAAGTACGGCTCGTACCGTTGATGTGGGTGTTGCCTTGCAGCTTGCTGGAGGACAGCAACGCGAAGATTTGGCCGGTAAATCCTGCTGCATGGGGCATCAGCGATTGCTTGGGGCGTGACGGACTCTGGTCGTCTTGTAGGAGAATTTGGCAAAAGTGTGCGTTGAAAACGTGAAAGTTCATTCCGTATTCGCGAAACCGATCGGAAAGGAGAAAACCTTCAGCATGCATATATGCGCACACCAAACAGCAAAAATGAAAATCCACGATCTGAGTGCGTGCGCGCTCCGATCCATCGTATTCGATCGTACGATCGTAAACAGTTTTGAATGTGCACGTGCGCACGTAGACCCGGGTGCTCGAATCAGAAACGATTTGACAGGTGTGCAATTTCTCATCTGTAAATCTCAAGAATGTCAGAATATACTTTTGGAGAGGCGATGGAACAGGGAAGAGAGTCTGGCTTGACCCACCCAGCAGGAATTCAGAACCTGGGTGCGCTACAACACAAGCTACAGACGCAGTAAAATTGTCGTATTTCCTTCGGATTTTTTATTTGAAAATTGGGTGCTCGAATCAGAAACAGCGAACTCGTCAGATCGTCTCCGATTCAAGCACACGGGTCTGCCATCGTCTACGCTTGGTGTGGCAGTTGAGGGCAGGGAGTAGTAACTTACTACTTCATTTTTGAGAGCAAGATGGTCAGTGGAGCCGCAGATTCAGCAGGTCTTTGGCAGCACCGTACAGGAGACCCATATCCTCGAATCAAGGACCCAGCAAAAGTGGGTCGCGAGTATTTCAAAAGTGTTTACCGGGCCAGCGCTGAAATTTGGCATACCGTTAGCAGGCCGTATGTTGATGGTATTTGTGAAAACTAAACGAAATCGGAACAAGTTTAGGTACAATTTCAGGGTGTTTCTGTTTTGGTACCCTGTGTCTCATTCGAGCACCCGGGTCTACGTGGGGGCAATGCAGCAGCATCGCCTTTGGCTTTGGCTTTGCCCTTTGTATTTTGACAGAGGCAAAGCTCAGCTGATGCTGCATGCTTCGCATCTGGAAGTGAAGGCGTTTCGTTCGATAATTATCATCATTTATTTGGAGTACTTACCGTCGTGTCTGTTCATCTTCTTTAGAGTTCACAGCATCTGAGCTCAGCTCTAGCCTAGCTGTACAGGTGTCTGTATATCATGGAAGTCTGCTCACAGACGCCATGGGCACTCTAGGACCTCCTTTCATAACTCGTTCTCAATTTTGCATCAAGAGAATTCTAACACACGTACTTAGTACATTGTGAATTGGAAACAATAGAATTTGAAGTGAATTACTGCCAGTTCAAGTAAGTTAGTTAGTTAGTTGCGTCTGCAGAAGAGGCTGGTTTGGCGTGAGCTGTTCTGTGTTCATCATGGCCAAGACCGTCACGTGCTCTCTCCCACGCAGTGTGCTGGCTCTGTGTGGCAGTCACTTCTTGTCGACATGGGTGAGTCTGGTGCACATCATAACCAGTATTAGTGCGTTTCAAAAGTCCAGACCTCTGGTTTCAAAAACGTTAGGCCAGCATCTATACCACATAAAATCTGTGATCATTTTGTGCACAAAATTTTCGAAATTGGTCGTCTATTATCCAATCATATTAGCTGTGGCCATGAGCTGAGGTGAAGTACAGTGCTGATCAGATAAATCCAACCTCATGAATAAAGTAGCGCCGCATTCGAGTGCACAGACCAGTATGTGTAGCGCTAGCCGGGGCTGCGTAGAGCCCGGCTATT